GAGCTCGGGGTTCCAGGCACAAAGAGCATCCCAGGGCCTACCACGCCTCGAGGACCTTAAGGCTTGGCGCGCGCGGCAGGCGCCTGCCTCTTCCAGGGCTTCTCGCGCCGCCTCCTCCCACCTGTCGGTCTCCCCCAGCGCCGCAGCCCACGTCCCGGCGGAGAAATGAGGGGCCTGACAGGTGTCTGTGCAGCCAGTCGCTTTGTTTCATTAACCTAAGGCTGAAGGGGATGAGCGGTGGGGATGAGCCAGGCACCAAGACCGGGGTGGGTGAAGAAGACCTCCAAGACTAGAAACCGCCCCGGGCCGCGAGTCCGGGGCTTCTGCAGTGAGTCCTCAGTGCATTTTGGCCTGCCGGATACTCAGAGCTGCTGGGAACCTGTTATAGGTCCTGCGCGCCCTGCAGAACCCGAGGCTGCGCTGGACTGCCGGGCCTGGGCTACTGGCCCGGGTACACGCTGGTGGGCTGCCCCCACAGTTCCGGCTCCTCCTCGATAGTTTTTAAACGGGGCAGGCAGGTATGTGCAGGTGCTGGGACCAGCATGGAGCCAGCTTCAGCCTCCCTCCATCCCCTTTTGCCCCTGTGGCTGTCTTGTGTTTCCATGCCCTCTTCCTCCAGTACAGCAACGGTCCACACTTAATTCTGGCCAAACATGAGCCAAGAGGTGGGCACCCGACGATGTCAGGCTGGGCTGCCTCGGGGGAGGGATTGCTTTGCTGGTCTCACACATGGCAAATCACCGGCGAGTGAAGGCTGTACGGGTCCTGTTGCCCATTCTCCGTCCTGCTTTTCTCACTCTTGCATCGGCTCGGGTGCCGGAAGTCTTGCCTGCAGGGTAGTGAGAAGGAAGCCAGATCACACATCTAACTCTAGCACTGTCCTTTACAAGGTGACACTGACAAGCTGCAGTTGCCTCATCTGGGAAATAGAGACAATGTGTCTACCTGGCAGTGGGAGGGGGAGAGGCTTTTGAGGGTGTAGGGGGAATAGGCTGCAGAGCAGCGAACAGCCTTAGGACAGTCGGTAGGGATGACTCAAGGAGCTGGGTCTCTGCTACCCTTGTGAGAGACCAGGATTGCCTGGCCAGCGCCCAGCTCCAGTCTGGACCTAGCCCTGGCTGCTGTAGATATTTGGTGAGTAGACCAGGAGTTGGAATCTGCCTATCTAAACAACATCTAGCAGATTTTAATGAAAAATAAAGAATAATGACTTTTAAAAGCCTGAGCTAGAATGCACTCAGTTACATTTTTCCTTTTGGTATTACTGCCTCTCCTGTGGACAGAAACCCCCTGTTGTCACACCAGGGGTCTGGAACGAACAGCTCCACCTGGGCACTGCAAGCCAGTGTGCTCCGTGTGTGTGGCAGGGAAGCCACTGAAGAGGGGGAAGGAGGAAACGGGAGGGGATCACGCTCCCTTAGGTCTACAGGGGAACACCAGCCAGCTGGCTCCTCTCCCCTCACACCCAAGGACGCTGGTTCTTGTGCCAGCGGTGGAGGCAGACTACACTGCCACAATCTTGTCACCCACGGGACTGCTGCTGTCACCTCCTCACACCTCTTCTTCCCTTGGGGAGAGGTCTGGGTCAGTGACAAGAGGGGTGAGCGAAGGAAGGAGAACAGAGAGCCTTCAAGGAGCCGGGACCTTTCCGCTAGACTTCATAAAATTTTAACATGAAAACTTGCGCAGAGTGGAAGGCACATAGCACATGCAAATCATATGCTAATCGCACGCTAATCCAAAGCCTGGTTCTCAGAACTCTGGCACACACCTGACTGTAGCCCCAGGGGGGGAATTCTGGGGAGACCTGGGGTTCCTGGGCAGGTGTGTGTTCCAGGTGGGGTTAGGCAATGGGGTTAAGAACTGGCCTAGGATTGAAGAAGAGTCCAGAGTGTCATTTGGAGTTAGCATCAGGGTTAGTGCAGACTCCAGACTGGGCACATCTGAGACCATCTTCCTCTCGCCTCCCTCACCAACCCTGTCCCCACCTGCCCCATCACTTCTTCCCCAATGCCAACCTTGTCCCCACCTCCCAGGAGCCTCCCAGGACTGGCTGCTAGAGCAGCTCTGGGCAAAGGGTCCCCACACTCTCCTTCCTGTGGCTTCCAGTCCCAGGGGCACAGGCTGGCCTTGGTCCTCCCCAGATCCCTCTTCGGCCAAATGTGACAGCTGCAGGGAAGCAATAAGGACCCGGTGAGCTGGCAGCCTCATTCCGGAGTGTGGGGAAAGAGCAACAGAACATGAATAAATGCATGCGGCTGGCCCCTCAGCTCCGTGAGCCAAGCCTACTTCCCCCACCACACACACAGGCTGCTGCGTGCAGCCCCGCTGGCCACTGCAGCTCAATGCCTTGGCTGGGGCTGGCAGGAAAAGGGATGCTCCAGAGGGAGGCCAGAATTTGACCTGAAGCGGGTGAGGTGCAGGGCTCCGAAAGGGGGTCCCGGGAGTGGCTGGGCCAGAGAGGGCCTCTGGGGAGGGACAGGGAAAAAGAAAGGGGCGGCTGGCCCTGGGCTGGCCCTGAGGATCGGGCAGGGAGGCTCGGGTGAGCTCAGCCTCGCTCTCTCCTCTCTGATCCATCCATCATCCAGCCTGGGGGAGCAGATCTGGAATTAGACATTCAAGGGGCCGACACGGCCCTTAGCCCCCCGAGGAAGACAAATGGCGACAAAGACCTTGAATAAAATTTGTATTTATGGTTGCAGAAGCCCCCTCCCCCACTGCCTGCCAATCCTTACAGGCTCCTGGGGACTGGCCGGGCCCCACAACCTCTTTTGGCCTGCACCACCGTATGATGGTGATGGGATTGGAGCGGCAGATGCAGGGGAGATGAGAACATCACCCAGGAATCATGCCCTGATGTGCCCTGTGCTCTGTATTGTACACACGTGTTGCAGCTGTCCATCTCCAGACAGCCCCATTTCCACCTATCCTGGGAGCTGGACCTCTGGCCCTATGGTCCCTGTGATTCCCCAAGGAGGGGCTGGGCCTGCAGAAGGACACAGGATCACTTTAGCTCTGGACCCTCACCTGTCAAAGCTTGCGCCCCTCCGGGTCACTCTGAAAGTAGTCAAGGTTGCCTTTTCCAAGAGGGTGCCCAGCACTTAATCTGCATTTTAATTACTTAAATTTGCATAACTAACTTCCCTCCTTTCCCACCCCTCTCCAGTAAAAACACCCCTTATGTGTGTTGCCGGGTTTCCCCTAAGAGCCAAGAGGATGGGGGCAGACAAGCCTGGCACAGGTAAGGATGGCTGGGCTGGGCAGGGCCAGTGGAACTAGAGTGGCCTTCTCCACCCCACTGCCCAGAGGAGACTCCCTACTTTTAAATCCGGAGGCAGAAGAAATGGCATTGATGGGGGTGCTCCATCCAGGCATTGTCCCTTTGGCTCAGCCCTCACACACATAGAAACAAAGGCACAAGCCCACTCACCCAGGGGGCCAACCCTCCAGGCCAGGATCCTGCGGCCACCTGCACCCTCTCCCACACCCTGTCACAAGGCACAGGCCCACAGCGGCCACCCTGCCTGCAGGAGGGCCCCGCCCCCGCGCCGGCCCCACACTTGATATGTCACATTGGAGTCCGAACACGGACCCGGGTGTCTCCGCAGCGCCATTTACATTTCTCCCTCTCGATCCGTCAGCCTGTCAGGGCTCCCGTCTCTCTCCCCCACCCCCCGCCGCCCGGTGGGGGGAAATGCCGTCAGGTAGTCTCTTAGAGTAGCTTTGTCTCTGTCCTTGCGCTTCTTGCCGGCTTTCCGTCTCTCTGATTTCCTCTGTCGCTGCCCCTCTGTTCTCCTGTCCGTTTCCTGCTGGCTCCCAGGGACTGGCCTACCTCTGCTGCGCCCTCGCTCCTCCTCCCCTCCCGCCTTCCTCCCCCCTACACTTGCATTTGCTCTGCAGCCCCCAACCCGGGATGGACCAGGCCAGGGTGCACTCATTTGACTCAGCCCTTGCTGCCAGTACGTGATGGGGGGCTAGCTACAGGGAGGGAGAGAGGTGACAACACCTCTTCTCTTCCTTCTCATTTTCTTGTTTGTTTTTTTTGAGGCTCCCACCCCGCATCTTCTCCGCTCCAGGGATCCACCTGTTTTTTCTCTGTGTGCTTGCGTTTCTGGTCCTGCCTTATTGCCCACCGCCTTCTTCTAGGCGCCGGGAAGGCCAAACTCCGGGTGGAAGCGGGGAGAGTGAAGCCGGGGTGGGCAGGGCGCGCCTCCCCGCAGAGCCCGCCCGGACCTGGCCAGAGCTGGGGGCCGCGGTGCGCCCCGCCCCCGCGCTGCCCGCTGCCGACACCAGGGGTCGCTCCGCGGACGGCCGCTTATAGTGATTCCCGCCGCGCGGAGACTCGCACACCACCCGCACCGCCGCCCCGGGAGGGAGGCGAGGAAGGTTAGGGTCGCCGGGAGCTGGAGCGCGCGCGGGCCAGGGCCCCGGCAGGGGCTTGAAGAGGCAGGCGGGAGCCGTGGCTGGGGTGGCAAGGCGTACGGTGGTCTCCGGGAGCCGGAGCGCAACACCTCCTAGAAGGTCGCGCCACCCGCAGCTCCAAGCCTGGGACGTCCGGAGCGCAGGGGAGGAATAACCCCCAACGTCACCCCAAGCCGGCTGGCAGCAATCTGTCCGGGTGGCCCCGCCGGTTGGCTCTGCCAACGGGGAGACAGCAGCTGCCTGGAGAGCAGGTTCCCTAGACTGACCTGTCGGAGAGCCAGCCCGTCCCAGAAGAAGCCGCGAAGCTGCTCCTGCGCCCGGGACCGCTCAGACTGCACCGGAGGGTAACCTAGGGCCACGGGCTCCAAGCCGTTTGGAGCTGCCCTTGGCCGAACCCGGGGAGCCTTCCGCACGGACGGACGGTTTGGGGGGACGGCACAGCAGCTGCGGAGAGAGCCCGCGGGGGGCGGGGGAGCCCAGGCGCAGCCGTCGGGGGTGGCCAGACCCGGGCAGAAGTCCCGCCGCCTCCTTCTCCAGGGCCTGCGGAGAGCCCCGGGCCTCCGCCGCCATTGCGCCCAAGAGTGAGGAGGATTTGCTGGCCCTGGCCGCGTCGCGGCTGAGCCGCCGCAAGCGGGTGGCGGGCGCAGCCGTCGGGGTGGCCATGGTGCTGTTGTTGCTAGTGGCCATTCCGTTGCTGGTGCACAGCTCCCGCGGGCCGGCGCACTACGAGATGCTGGGTCGCTGCCGCATGGTGTGCGACCCGCACGGGCCCCGTGGCCCCGACGGCACGCCCGCATCCGCGGCCCCCTTCCCGGCGGGAGCCAAGGGAGAGGTGGGTCGCCGCGGAAAGGCGGGCCTCCGAGGACCTCCGGGGCCTCCAGGACCTAGAGGACCGCCGGGAGAGCCAGGCAGGCCTGGCCCTCCAGGACCCCCGGGGCCGGGCCCCGGCGGCGTGGCGCCTCCAGCCGGCTACGTGCCCCGTATTGCCTTCTACGCCGGCCTGCGGCGGCCTCATGAGGGCTACGAGGTGCTGCGCTTCGACGACGTGGTGACCAACGTGGGCAATGCATATGAGGCCGCCAGCGGCAAATTCACCTGCCCCATGCCGGGCGTCTACTTCTTCGCTTACCACGTGCTCATGCGCGGGGGCGACGGCACCAGCATGTGGGCCGACCTGATGAAGAATGGACAGGTGAGGTGTCCCCCAGTCCCCGCCCCGCCCCAGGGCCGCTGCCCCAAGCTTTCTGATTCTCCCCCCTCAATCAGTCCTCATCCTGAACTCCTTCCCGCAACATCCTTGCCAAACCTGGAAAAGGCTGCTTTAAACAACAACATATAAATCGTGTCATTGGGCCAAAGAACAATTGGAGGCCAGCTGTGGGGCTAGGGGAATTTGCTGGGGTCTCCAGATGTGTGAGAAATGGTATGAAAATTAGAACTTGGGATACAAAGCTCTCCTCTTGTAATCCTGCTTGGCTGCCCAGCGTTTTCTAGCAGCCCAGTGGCCTCTGGGCGCCTCTCCTGCCTTGGGTGAGCTGCTCAGAGTCTTGGCTGCTGCGGATTGGAATGGAATACGCGTCCCAGGCACTGGAGAGTGGTCAGCCATGAGGGGAGGGGGGCGGGAGGCAGGAACAGGAGGTGTTCAGCATTCATTCTGGAAGAAAAGGCAAAAAAGAAAAGGCAGCTTCACTCCCCAGGCAGCAAACCTATGCCTCGCCCCAGGGCCAGTGACCAAGCCTACCAGAGCCCTTGCCCAGAGACAGAGGCGGAGGTGGGAGGTGGGAAGTGGCCTGGCAATTGGGAGCCAGGCAGAGAACTGACAGCAGAGATGCAAGGGGGCAGGTAGACCCGCAGCCTGGCCTTAGCAACCTTGGTCTGCGGCTGTGCCTGCTCTCCAGCCCCGTGGGCAAAGCCAGAGCCACTGTCACCAAGGACTGAAGAAACAGCCGCAAGCACTTTGCTTGGGGGGTGGGGGAGGGTGTGCACAGAGGGAGACAGCTGGCACAGGCTTGGAGGAAGAGGAGGTGCCAGGGCCTCCTGGGCCTCTGCAGGTGGGGATTGAGAGGTGACCTCTGCATGTCCTGAATGATGGAGGGGAGGCTAGCAAGGGCCTGCTGGACCTGCCCCTCTATTCTCTGCCCAAGGCCCTGGTTCAGCCGTGGTGTCCCCCTGCCCTCTCCCCCATCTGTAGGCCAGCTTTGGGTTCTTCTCACGGTAGGGCTGCCCTGGAGACCCGGGGTGTGTGTGCATGTGTGTATGGGGGTGCAGTCTGTGTATGTGTAATCAAGTGTGCCTGTGCAAGATGTACGTGTGTGTGGTGCCTAGGGTGGAGAGGAGTCACATGGTGACGTGTGCCTGTGGCACCTGGTAAGGGCGCTCTGCTTGTGCAGGACATAGGGGAGAGGCTGCAGGACTTACATGTAGCTGCCTATGCAGGCTTCAGAGAGGCGGGGGCTGCACAGCTCCCACTCTGTATTCCTCTGCACGGGCACTGCGGCCCTGGGGACGGTAAATAATGATTAGAATAATGATGAATAATTAATGAGTTAATAACCAGCCCCTGTGGGACCAGAAGAGGGGGCTGGTGGCCTGTGGGGTCCCACACCACCAGAATGGAGAAGAGGAGGGCTCCTTATTTGGGTGGAAGATGACCCCCAGCACCAACACATACCCCCAGGATGGAAATGTGCACCCCAGAGGCCAGAGCACCACAGTGCCCCTCCCTCCCAGCCCCACACTGGGGGAAGTGAAACCCAAGCTTGGCACTAACAGGAGTGCCCTGTAGGCATCGAACCTAAGCAATTATCCTAGGGGGTGATTTTATTTTCAAAAGGAGAATACTAACAGCAAAGCCCACATGATATCTTCTGTAGGAAAACCGCAGTTGCGAACACACCACGCCCACCTAACTCCTTTCATCCTAATCATTTTAGGAGGTACGCTCCATTCTTGCTGTCACTGTGTAGTTCAAATGGAGTTCTAGGCCATAAGTGAGACTTGCTGGAGTCACCCAGTTGGCGAATGGCAGAGCCTGGGGTGCTACGCAGGTTCCAGCCTCTCCCAGTCCCCCCTGGTCCCGACCACCGGTGGCTGGCACCCCCAGTCAGCCGCCCTGGGGCACTCCACCTGTGGTCCCCCCAGTGCGGCACAGGGCGTGTTGCTTCTGCTCTGCTTCCGCACTAGGTCCGGGCCAGCGCCATAGCGCAGGACGCCGACCAGAACTACGACTACGCCAGCAACAGCGTCATCTTGCACCTGGACGTGGGTGATGAGGTCTTCATCAAGCTGGACGGTGGCAAGGTGCACGGCGGCAACACCAACAAGTACAGCACCTTCTCTGGCTTCATTATCTACCCGGACTGACCCGGCGCCCCCGCCCCCCCTCCCCGTCCCTCGCTCGAGTCCCCCCCTCCCCACTCCCACCTGCGCCAGCCACACGGCGCCACCCGTCCTATGAGAGCCCGGCAGTGGGGCAGGCCCTCCTGCCCTTGAACGGCAGCCTGAAGGGGTGAGCCTGGGGACCGGACGAGGCTGGGCTGGGGGAGGAGCCGACTGCCCGCAGGCGGACCACCCACACCGACAGCAGCCTCACTAAGCAGAAGGAAAAGAACAGAAACAGAAGGAGCCCGTCCGAGGCGACAGGAGACTTAGGACGGGGTAGGTGCCGGTCCTCTGTCGCGACTTCCCTCCCATTACCTCCTTCCGTCATCGGCATCTCCAGGCCCCAGCCACGGTGGCCTTCCTGTGAGCTGCGGGAATGTCCGTTTCTTCACTGGCACTGAAAACTCATTCTGTACAGTCCCATCCCACCCCTAGTCTGGGCCAGGCCCTGGGGCTACAGCTGTTGTTGCCTCATCCAATAAAGTGGGGTTGGGGGGCTGTGCGTGGCTGCTTGGGTTGGTGCATGGTGGGGGGCAGGGGGAAACCGTTGATGGCAAGGCCTGCCCCTGGGGGAGTGGGGAGGAAGGAGGGAGGCAAGAGGGAGATTTGCAGCCTCCTCCCACCTGCAGGCCGAGGGAGACCCCATCAGAGTGGCTCTCTCACAAGGGAGTGAACCTGGTGCCCAGGGGATGAGGGAGTGGCAGCTGGTCCCTGGGAGAGGAGCAGGTGCTACATGGTCACCAAAAAACAACAGCTCAACCGAAGGGTGGGGCAGGCAGGCGTGGAAGGACACAGCTCCCTTCATGGCAGTGTCCAGATGGGGGGGACCAGGCTGGCCTCTCAGGCCGGGGTGCACTGCCACCATGTGGGCAGTTGGGGAGCAACAGCAGAACTGGCCTAGTCCAACCCCGCCCCCCCCCCCCCCCAGCCAGACATCTGGAGACTTTAGAAACTTTATTAAAGGACAGACGGGTCCCAGTCCCAAAGACGGACAGGCAATAAATAAGGGCTAAATGGGAAGGAGCATGCAAGGTGAGTGTAGGTGGAGTGGGTGACTCAGGGTGGAGAGTCCTGGGGGGCAGCAGAACCAACTGGAACGAAACTCTGTAGAGAGAGCAGACCTGGTTACAGTCTGGCACAGATTGACAGCAGCTAGATCCACCGCCCTCCCTAGCTGTCAGGCAGCTGAGGCTGGCTCCCTGTCCCACCCCACTTCCCCCTGAAGGCTGGAATGGGGCCAGTGGCTCACCAGGGCATCCTGCCACTCGAGGACTGTGGCCACAGGATTGGTGCACACCCGGCTGGTGCCGGAGGGCGGGGCCCGGCTGGTGTAGAAGGCACACTCGTCATCCAAACGGGCCTCGTGGAAGCCGTGGATGGCTGACAGACAGGCTTTGAGGCGCTGCCTCAGGGCCAGGGCTCTTGGCGCCAGACTGCTGGGGCCTGAGGGCCGCAGAGAGTAGAGAGGACTCTGAAGTCCTGCCTGTACCCTCCCCAGCCCTGTCCCCCAGGGACTCTCCTCCCAATAGCCACCAAGACCCGGGCTGGTGGCAGCTCCTCCCTGCTTCGGGAGAGGACTGGGAGAAGCCGGCACAGCCCTGCCTGGCCCAGGGCAGGGCCCAGCTCCCAGGGTAACACCAGGACCTCCTTGATTCACGGCCTTCCCACCCCTCTCTTACCTGCCTGGCCAATGGGGGACCTTGGAGAATGCAGCGAGTAGATAAGGGGGTTGGCACAGAGTGGCTGCTGGGAAGAGAATGTCAGGCTGGTGGTCCCAGGGGTACCTAGATTGCAGTAGGGCTGCGTGCTTGACCCTGGGTTGCTGTGTTGCAAGGAGCAGACCTTGGAGGCCTCCTGCTCCACCCCAGGGCAGGGCTGTAGGTGCCTGGCCTGCAACCTGAAGCTGGGCTGCTGGGCTTCAGACTCTGCTGCAGGGCAGGGCTGCTGGACTTCGGGCTCTGCTACAGGGCAGGGCTGTAGGTGCCTGGCCTGCAACCTGAAGCTGGGCTGCTGGGCTTCAGGCTCTGCTACAGGGCAGGGCTCCAGGTGCCTGGCCTGCAACCTGAAGCTGGGCTGCTGGGCTTCAGGCTCTGCTACAGGGCAGGGCTCCAGGTGCCTGGCCTGCAACCTGAAGCTGGGCTGCTGGGCTTCAGGCTCTGCTACAGGGCAGGGCTCCAGGCGCCTGGCCTGCAACCTGAAGCTGGGCTGCTGGACTTCAGGCTCTGCTGCAGGGCAGGGCTCCAGGAGCCTGGCCTGCAACCTGAAGCTGGGCTGCTGGACTTCAGGCTCTGCTGCAGGGCAGGGCTGCTGGGCTTCAGGCTCTGTTACAGGGCAGGGCTCTGGCACCCCATGCTGTTCTTGGGGAGATGGCTCCGGCACCTCATTGCCACAGGACTCTGTGGGAGCCAACTTAGCCGTAAGGCAGGGCTGCGCCTCCCCACCCTTGTCTGGAAGGCAAGACTCCAGCCGCCCAGCAGGTTGTGACAGTCCGTGAAGGCAGGCAGTCCCAGGATCAGGCTCTGCGGCTTTCACAGTTCTAGACATCTCAGCCAGCAGGGGCTGAAGCTCAGCCATGTCCAGAGATGGGGCACCACTGAGGGAGGCACACTTGTCCCATGCCAGCCCCTCTACCTCCTGCCGTAGCAGCTGCTGTAGGATGCTGATGCGCTATGGGGTGGGATGGGGGGAGAGAGTATCCTGATGTGACATCAAGCCCTCCACAACCTCTTCCCATTCTCCCCACACATACACGCCCCACTGACTCACCTGCAGCTTCAGCTCCTGAAGGCTAGAGGCTGTGTTGGGGTGGAGACCAAGAGGGGCCGATGATGGTTCCCCAGGACCATCCTGCACTTCACCGTGAGTCTCCTGGTCAAACAATCGCACTGCAATCTGTCCCTGCATCGAAGGTGGAAGGGGTATGTGAGGAAGCCAAGCTTGGCTGGGAAGAGCAGCCTGAGACCAACTGTCAGGAGGAGGGGAGGCAAAGCCCCAAAATGAGAGGCCCTGGACTTGGACTGGAAGGGGCAGCCGAGAGGAAGGGAAGCACAGCTGCTCCTAACTGCTGGACCTACAGCCACCAGGACTACACACGGGTGTCTCCCACACTTACCCAGGGTAGGGCCGGGTCCTCACGGCAGGACTGAGGGGAGAGGCCCCGCAGCCACCGGGCCTGGGAAGGGAGTGAGACGTCAGCAAAGGCCACACCCGTGCCTGGGACCCACTCTCTCCTTGCCTCTGCTTTAGCCACCCATGCCCCTCCCCACCTGTCTTCTCCCTTGTCTTGGCCTATGCAGCTGCCTCCCTTGGGCCCTATCCTACCTGCTGAACCCTGGGGTTTGATGAGATGGGTGTGAACCGGGTCTTGGGTCGCATGGTGAAATGCCGCAATACTGAATAGGATGCCTGCGGAAGGGATGAGAGTGGTTGAGTAGCGATTGCCAGCCGAGCTACCCTGCCCTTGCCCAAGCCCTCCCTATTGCTACGGGTACAAACCGCTGCTGCGGGGACACCAGGGGAGGGGACACGCTGAGCTCGCCCAAAAGGCGACGGGTGGGGGATAGAAGGAGGTACCACACGGCCGGGCATGGGCTGGGTCGCAGGGGAGGGCATCAGGTGAGAGCCTTGGCCATCCTATGTGGGGAGACAACGTAGACGGAATGATCCCTGCCTGTGTGAGGCTCCCTTTCCGTGGACTGGAGCCCATCACCCCTGTGTTCTTCCCTTCTCTCCATAGCTTTCCACCCATCACACCCAAAGGACACCACCTCACAGGTCCTCATCCCTCCTGCTTCCATCATGGTAGCCTCACCGCCTGAGAGTTCTCACTCTGCTTCATTCTCTGTCTGTCTCTCTCACACACACACACACGGCATATTCCCCTCCAGGGCCCTGGCATCCACAGTTCTCTAGGTGTGAAATATTCTTCCAGCCCCACTCCCATCACCCTCCCAACATCTGTCCAGGTCACTCCCTGCACTCCTGGGCTTCGCTGATTTATTGTGAACTGTAACTCACCTCCCCCCCCCCCCACTTCCCATCAGCAACTTATGTATCATTTTTTTTCTACAGAGCACTTAGCACTATCTTGAAAACTATGCTTCCCCCTTCTAGACTATGAGCCTGTTTGCTGTTGTATGTCTAAGGCCCAGGGAGGTGAAGGTTTGGCACCGGTAGGAAGCCACTGTGAGCTGAAGGGATCAGTGAGTGTGGCCGACAGGTGTGTCAGCTGTCTCGTCCTCAGCACAGTGATTCAAACACACTCCCATCTGTAACCTCTTACCCCAGACCCCTGGGAAAGAGGGGCCAATCCTGTTCCAGCGAGGGCTTGGGTCCATGTGCAGCACACCCTACCCCAGTAACACCCCAAGGCCCAGCTTGGCAGGCTCCGCAGGCCTGTCTTGTCTCCCCTACCCACCATCCCAGGAGGGTCCCATCTCACCCTGCTGTGTGGCATCGCTGGGATTTCCCTCAAGGGCACTCGCTGGGCCAGGCCAAGGGGAGCCCCTCCTCCTCCATCGGAGTGAGGGGCAACGGCGTGCTCTCCTTCAGGGAGAGAGGAAGATAGGAGGAAAAGACGGGAAATTTACTGTACAACCTAGAACATCCCCCAAAGCCTAGCATGGCATGTGGTAACCTCTGAAGGGGGTGAACTAGTTGGTTTTTCACATTTTTATTTATTTGAAAGGCACAGAGATGGGCAAAGAAAGATCTTCCCTCTGATTCACTCCCCCAAATGCCCATAGTAGCTGGAGCTGGGGACACAGTCCAGGGATCCCACACATGGCAGGGACTCGGGCCCTTGAGCCATCATCTACTGCCTCCCAGGATGGCCCTTGGCAGGAAGCTGGACCAGACTGGAGCAATGGCTTGAGTCCTGGCTGCTCCAGGCTTCTGATCCAGCTTGCTGCTAATGATCTGGGAAGGCAATTGGTGATGGCTTAAAAAAGAAAAAGAAAAAAGAAAAAAAAAGAAAGGAAAGAAAGAAATAGAACCGGGACTTGAACCCAGGGACTCCACTGTAAGCATCCCATATGAGTCCCTAAGTGGGTACCCAACACCTGCCCTGAGCGTAAGCCTGCATGGATAGGACAAGGGCCCACGCAGGGGCCAGCACTGACTTGGGAAAATCCTCTGAACACCCTGAGCGGGCTGAGGACATGGTGGTGGCTCTTGGGGGCTGCATGAAGGCACTCCTTGCAGAAGGTGGAAGAGAAAGTGAAGAAGCCAAGACCATCTCCTTTGTCCCAAAGGGCAAGTGGGCTGACTGCTGGTCCATCAGCGGCCCCACCCGCCCCCTGCCGTGGCCCCCATTACCCGCACACAGCCTACTGAGCATTCTCTCAGGTTCCCAATGCAGGCAGCCCACCCACTTCTAATCTCTCCCCCACTGCCACACAACTCACCAGGCTGGGCCGGGGTCTCTAGAAGCAGTTCAGAAGCCTGGCTCGCCGCACTCCTGATGACAAGAAGGACAGCTAGGAGGCCCTGAGTAGCAAGTGTGACCTGGCCATGTGCTAAGTGCTTCACAAACATCACTGTGTTCTCTGGTCACAACGAATTCCGGCATCACAACAAACACTGTCCTCACTCCACAGAGAAGGAAACCCAAGGCCAGCTTGTACAGCCAGTGAGTAGGAATCAAGAAGTCAACCCAGATCCCACTTGTGGTCACCGTCCACAATGGCCACTAAGCCAGTCAGTGCCTCACATGCCTGCCCCCTTCTCCCCACTAGAACCCAAGGACACGTCATACCAAGTCTTGGCCGCGCAGGCCTGGCCTCTAAGGCAGCCACAGTTGTCCCCCGGATCCCCTCCTTGGGTGGTGGGGAGTTTGAAAGCTACAGGAAGGCCCTGGCTCCACAGGACCCATCCTTGCCCCAAACATCCTGCCCCAATCTTTCCTTCTCACCGGCTGTTGCCACCTGCCAATCTTCTTAATTCCTGGAAGTTGGGACGGGTGGTGGAGAAGGGCAAGGAGGGTCCTGACAGCTGAACCTGCTGCACAAGAGCCAGAGAGGAATGCAGTGTCAGAGGTGGGCCCAGGATTTAAGGCCCGCTCCTACTCTGCCCACAGCGCCCTCTTCTGTCCCCAGGAGGGGCTTCTGAGCGCAGGAGCTCACCACAGCCTCCAGCCTCTGGGGATACACCATTCGGCCTCGGGGTCCCGGGCCCTCCAGCCTTGAGAAGCAGGAAGCCCTGACGGGATCCAGTGGGTGGATGGGGGTTCTGGGAGCCAGATATGCAGAGGCCCGAGCACCCTGGAACCCCAAGAGAGGCTGTCAGCACAGGCTCGGGAGCCTCCTCTGCCCATCAGACCCGACCACCCCACGACCTGTCTCATTACCTGGGCCCTCTGGGTGGTGCTGCCTTTGCTCCCTTGAATCAGGACTCTTCTAGCGAGACTGGAGTGGCGCCCCGGAAAATCATTCTTCACCCCCTCACCTGACAGGATGGTGGCCAGGGCTGCAGGATCAGCTACAAACTCTACGGCTGCTGGAGCCTCTGCAAGGGAAGAGAAGGGAAGGTGAGACTGGGGAGGAATGGGGAAGGAGGAGACGCTGGACAGTCCCCCGGGGCTGTGGGAATGGGCACAAGAGACCCGTTCAACTCAACACAGCTCACCCGATGAGCACTGGACTTCATGAAAAATGTTCCTCCAAGCCCCCAAACAAATTAAGACAAAACCCTTATCCTCAAACTATGGAAATAACAGGTTCAAGCTGGAATGCAGACCTTGTGTATCATATTAGGAAGACGGGTTGGGGGTGACTGGAAATAACTTCAGAAGGGATGAGATGTGCTGCAAGGAGGAGGGACAGCGTTGAACAGCACGGAGCTGCCCAGGATCAGGCACCAGGCCCTGTCCCTCCCAACAGTGAGCTGGAATCTAGGGGGACTGCAAGGCCCCAAAACCCACCAAGCTCTTCCCATCATTCAGATGACCAGGCTGTGCTCCCAGACCCTCCCCCAACAGGTACCTGTCTGGGGAGGTAGACCAGGTCCCACATTTTGTCTCCCAGTGTCAGGCCTCAGCTCCTCCAGAGTGGTCCGGGCCGGAGTGATGCCCTCCGAGCCCTGTGCTCTCTTGGTCTGCTGCTTGGCTTTCAACCGGGGGCCTGGGGATTCGCCGAGAGGGCGCTGAAGGGCGAGCAGTGGCTTCTGCATCACTCCCTGAGGGAAGGGGCAGGAGAGAAGGGGACAAAACGTCTTGGGATGCATTGCTGGAGTGACCGATTCCTTGTAACTACTAAGTTCACCCCCGGGGCCCCTCTTACCCTCGGATCTTGGTTCTCCTGGTCCGGGGCGCATGCTCTGACTGTGGGGAAAGGTGGGCGCCTCTGACAGCGCACGGGAATCTTGCTAGGGGTGGGAGACACACCCCGGGGGAGGGGGTCCTTGGAGGCGTGGAGGGTGGTCATGATGGCTACAGTGGAGCCTGGAAGGAGGGGATCAAAGATCAACCAGGCTCGGGCCGGACGCCTGCAAAGCCGGGCGCCCGGAAGCCTCCCCGGGCCTCTGCAAGGCCGCTTTTCTGGGTGCCACCTCCGACGTGCTGGATCCACCGTGTCGTCCCAGCACCTGGAACCGCTCTCCCCGCTGTGAACCCCCACAGCCCCCATTCCCCCCAGGGAGCCCGGGCCCGCACCTTCCCAGGACCGCCTGGCGCGCCGCTTGCACGGACTCTCCTCAGCTTCGGCGGCGGCCACTTTCTCCGTTTGTAAAATACGCCAAGCTCCTGATTGGCTCGGTCGGAGGCTCGTGACATCGGCGTCCGCCGACCAATCCGCGGGCCGGGGGGGCGGGGCCACAAGAAGGACTCTCCTTGGAGCCGCTTCCTGGACAGGAAAAAAAACCAGAGCCTGTTCCGTCAGCCAATCCGAGGGCGGAGCGCGGTGGGGGCGGGGCCAGAAGGAGGCGGGGCCGGTGGACTAGTGGCCCGGTAAGCTACGGGACTAGTGGTAGCTCTCGCGAGGTCTGGGGACCGGGCGGAGCAGTGCAGGCCGGTGGGCCGGAAGGATGCTTCCGGCGGCGGCTAGCGGTGCCCCAGCCGACGTGACCGACCACCCGAGCCGGGCTGACCACCTCAGCCGGGCAGACCACCCGAGCCGAGCTGACCACCTCAGCCGGGCTGACCACCTGAGCCGGGCAGACCACCCGAGCCGGGCAGACCACCCGAGGCCTGCATGCTCACCACCGAGCCGAGCTGACCACCCGAGGCCGGCATGCTGACCACCCGAGCCGGGCTGACCACCGAGCCGAGCTGACCACCCGAGGCCGGCATGCTGACCACCCGAGCCGGGCTGACCACCCGAGCCGGGCTGACCACCCGAGGCCGGCATGCTGACCACCGAGCCGGGCTGACTACCCGAGCTGGGCAGACCACCCGAGCCGGGCTGACCACCCGAAGCCGGCTCTGGGTGTCGGGCGGCACCCAAACACTTGAGCTCCTCGACGTGTCTCGCCGTCCTGTCCCTCTATCTAGATTGTCCTTGTTTTACTTCCGATTTGGCCTGTTAATGAGGCTAATTCAGGTTCCATAACAATGTGTATCAGTATCCCGATACAGCATGGATAATATGTTTATATAATAGTCATAACAATGTAACGTTCTAACAATGGATGTTAACCTCTCTCCCCACAGCTTCCTTGGTTCTGTCCTCTCAACAAGTTGAATTGTGTTTCATTTTTTTTTGTTTTTTTCCAGAGCATGTCCCAGGCAGGCATGTATTCATCAATATTAACATGTTATTAGGGATTGACTTACAGGGGCTGGTACCGTGGCATAGTAGGTTAAGCCTCTGCTTATGGCACCAACATCCCATTTAGGTGGCGGTTTGAGTCCCGGCTGTTCCAGTTCCCACCCATCTACCTGCTTGTGGCCTGGCAAAGCAGTGGAGGACAGCTCAAGTGCTTGGGCCTCTGCACCTTCATGGGAGACCTAGAAGAAACTTCTAGCTTTGAATCTGCTCAGCTTTGGCTGCTGTGGCATTTTAGGGAGTGACCCAGCAGAGGAAAGATCTTTCTCTGTTTCTTTTTCTCTCTGCAAACCTGCCTTTAAAAATTCTTTAATCTTTTTTTTAGATTTATTAATTATTATTATTGTTATTTTTGAAAGTCAGATTTACAGAGAGGAGGAGAGACAGAAACATCTTCCATCTGCTGGGTCACTCCCCAAGTGTCTGCAATGGCCAGAGCTGAGCTGATCCAAAGCCAGGAGCCAGGAGCTTCTTCCGGGTCTCCCAAGTGGGTGCAGGGTCCCAAGGCTTTGACTCATCCTCCACTGCCTGCCAATCCATAAGCAGGGAGCTGGAAGGGAAGTGGAGCATCCAGGACATGAACTGGTGTGGTGCCCATGTGGGGTCTGAGGAGTTCGACCACTAGACTACCGTGTTGGGCCCCAAATTTTTAAAGCTTTTTTTTAAAAAACGTAGTTAGTGCTCATGAGGGAGAGCTGATATAGTACCCAATAGCTGCAAAAACCAGAGCTGAGCCAGGCCAAAACCAGGGCTAAGACAGGCTTCTTCCAGGTCTCCCATGAGGGTGCAGGGGCCCACAGACTTAAGCCATCCCCCACTGCTTTTCCCAGGCCATTAGCAGGGAGCTGCATCAGATGTGGAGCAGCCAGAACTTAAAAAACAGTGCCGTTATGGGATGCCAGTGCTACAGGCAGAGGCTTAACCTACTACACTCCAGGACCAGCCCCTGTAACTCTGACTTTCAAACCAAAAAGTCCTTCACAATAGCAACAACAACAAAATCAGTTGCATATTGATGCATACAATACCAACTGAGACTTGTTCAAGAAGACAATCCTTTCTGAGAGGGCCTAACCAAGTGGATCAGCTGAGATTCCAGCCGACACCTGCGTGGCGGCTGGCATCACAGGCAACAGCTTTACCTGCCATGACAGCACTGGCCTCCACCAGGGCTTAGTAAAGTCTCCCCTGCTGACCCTCCGAGGGCATGGTGAAGGTGACCCTCTGCCTTTGGCCTGCTGTCGTACTTGCAATGCCTGATGTTGTGCTTGTAAACGTAATCAAACTTTGTGAATGGATGGGTGGATGGATAAATACAAGAATGAGGAAAGAGAAGAGCAGTTCCATTTGAACTTCCTCTTCGAAAAACAGGGAGCAGCACTGTGACGCCAGGGCTGAAGACGCTGCTGCCACGCCTGGCCCCCATCTGTGGCCATTGAGGAATAATAAAGCAGCAGACCAAAGAGCTAGCTCTCTTCCTCGCGCTGTAATTTCGCTTTTTAAATGCATAAATCTCTGTAAAACAGAAAATGGTGCCACCATGTGGTATCTGTTGAGGTGCCCACATCTCCAAGTACCTGGCTTGACTACAGCTCTGACCTAGCTTCCTGGCAGCACACACCCTGGGATGCCAGGGGATGGCCCGAGCACCTGTGTCTCTGTCCCCCACAGGGGAGCCCCAGAGGGAGTCCTTGTCCCTGGACGTCAGCCTGGCTCACCTGTTGGAGGCCTTTGGGGAGTACAACGGGATAGGATCTCAAGTTGAAAGTGAAAAGTTCCTACCTGATCACTAATTAAGTACTTTCAAAGACAAGGAAACGTGGCAGACCTGGTGTGTTGAGAGAGTAATGAGTCCTTATGGGTAGATGGGACATAGGAAATAAAATCAGAAAGTTTGGGGCTGGTGTTCGGCATGCCAGGTAAAGCCAATCCTTTGATGCTGACATCCCATATGGGTGCTGGTTGGTGTTCCGGCTGCTCTGCTTCCATCTCCGCTCCTAGCTAGTGGCCTGGGAAAAGCAGCAGAAAGCGGCCCAAGTGCCTGGGCACTGCTGCCCACATGGGATATCCAGAAAACTCCTGGCTTTTCTGGCCATCTGGAGAATAAACTAATGGATTGAAAATCTCTCTCCAATGCTGACTGTCAAAAAAAAAAAAATACATCTAAAACAAAACCAGAGAGATGGTCTTAATTGATCACCTCATTCCACTATTGACAATGTGCCAAATCCTCACCACCACCACCACTGCCACTGAGATCATAGGAAAAGTGAGCCAATGAAAGGTTGGCATGTGTGTGTGTCTCCTTATCTCTCAGTCTGTCTCTTAAATAGCTAGTTTAAAGATAAATATTTAGGGCCCGGCACTGTGGCGCAGTGGTTAAGGTCCTCACCTTGCACGCCCAGGATCCCATATGGGCGCCGGTTCTATCCCGGCAGCCCCGCTTCCCTTCCAGCTCCCTGCCTGTGGCCCGGGAAAGCAGTTGAGGACAGCCCAAAGCTTTGGGAACCTGCACCCGCATGGGAGACCTGGAAGAGACTCCTGGCTTCGGATCGGCATAGCATCGGCCATTGCGCTCACTTGGGGGGTGAATCATCGGATGGAAGATCTTCCTCTCTCTCTCCTCTCTGTATATCTGCCTTTCCAATAAAAAAAAATAATAAAAATAAATCTTTAAAATAAATAAATATTTAGGCCCGATACAGCTAAAGTCCTCACATTGAATGTGCTGGGATCCCATATGGGCACCGGTTCTAATCCCAGTGGCTCCACTTCCCATCCAGCTCCCTGCTTGTGCCCTGGGAAAGCAGCCAAGGATGGCCAAAAGCCTTGGGACCCTGCACCCTTGGGGGAGACACGGAAGAGGCTGGCTTCAGATTGGCTGGCTTCAGGTCTGGTTCCTGGCTTCAGATTGGCTCAGCTCCAGCCAATGCAGCCGCTTAGGGAGTGAACCATCGGATGGAAAATCTTCCTCTCTGTCTCTCCTCCTCTCTGTATATCTGCATATATATCCTCTCTGTATCTCTGTATATATTTTTGTAATAAAAATAAATAAATCTTTTAAAATAAATAAATATTTAAGAACACAGTATGGTAACCTAGCGGCTAAAGTCCTTGCCTTACCCATGCCAAAATCCCAGATGGGGGGCCAGTTCATATCCCAGCGGCCTCACTTTCCATCCAGCTCCCCGCTTGCGGCCTGGGAAAGCAGTCGAGGACGGCCCAAAGCTTTAGGACCCTGTATCTGCGTGGGAGACTTGGAAGAGGCTCCAGGCTTTTGGCTTTGGATCAACTTGGCCCCAGACGTTGTGGCTGCTTGGGGAGTGAATCATCGGACGGAAGCTCTTCCTCTCTGTCTCCCCTCCTCTCTGTATATCTGCCTTTCCAATAAGTAAATAAATAAATAGATAGATAGATAGATAGATAGATAGATAGATAGATAGATAGATGAATGATATTTACTTACTTGAACAACAACAACAAGAACAACAAAACAGTTTACTTCTAAAACACTCCAGCTAGGGCTGAGCCAGGCTGAAGCAAGGAGCTAGGAACTTGTCCCTGCTGTCCATGGGTAGAACAGACACAAGCACCCTTGCCATCTTACACTGCCTTCCCAGGCACGTTAGCAGGGAGCCGGATCAGAAGCAGTGTAGTCAGAACTTCCACGATGGGATTCAGCCATCCTAAACATCTTATCCCACTACTAACTGCTGTGTGCTGGGTATATATCTTATAACTTTACTGACTTTATTAGTTTTTTTGGTAGAGTCTGCTGTAGAGTTTTCAATATATAAGATAATGACTTTTTAAAAATATTTATTTTTTTTTTTGAAAAGGCAGATATACAGAGAGGAGGAAAGACAGAGAGGAAGATCCTCCGTCCGATGATTCACTCCCCAAGGGCCACAACGGCCAGAGCCAAGCCAATCCGAAGCCAGGAGCCTCCTCTGGTTCTCCCATGTGGGTGCAGGGTCCCAAAGCCCTGGGCCGCCCGCAACTGTTTTCCCAGGTCACCAGAAGGGAGCTGGATGGGAAGTGGAGCTGCTGGGACTAGAACCACGATTCATATGGGATCCCATGCCCAAGGCAAGGACTTTAGCCACTACGCCATTATGCTGGGTCAACTAATGACTTTTTTTTTTAAAGATTTATTTGTTTTTAAGATTTATTTTATGTTTATTGCAAAGTCAGACATACAGAGAGGAGGAGAGACAGAGAGGGAGATCTTCCGTCTGATGATTCACTCCCCAAGTGAGTGCAACAGCCAGTGCAGCGTCGATCCGGAGCCAGGAGCTAGGAACCTCCTCCAGGTCTCCCACGCAGGTGCAGGGTCCCAAAGCTTTGGGCCGTCCTCGAGGGCTTTCCCAGGACACAAGCAGGGAGCTGGAAGGGAAGTGGAGCAGCTGGGATTAGAACCAAGCAGCACCCATATGGGATCCCAGTGTGTTGAAGGTGAGGACTTTAGCTGCTAGGCCACTCAGCCGGGCCCAATTTATTTTTATTCTAAAGTCAGAGAGGAGAGACAGAGAAGATTTTCCATGTTGATTCACTCTCCAAGCAAAGGTGAGCTGAACTAACCCAAAGCTAGGAGCCAGGAGCTTTCTCTGCGTCTCCCACAGGCCCCTAAGGGTTTGAGCCATCCTCAACTGCTTTCCCAGTCCACAAGCAGGGAGCTGGATGAGAAATGAGGTGTCTGGGTTTAGAACTGACACCCATAAGGGATCCTGGGTGTTCAAGGCGAGGACTTTAGCCACTAGGCTATCGTATTAGGCCCTAAAGACTTATTTATTTGAAAGGAACAGTTACAGACAGAGGGTTAGACAAAGACCTTCATCTGCTGGTTTACTCCCCTGATGGCTGCAACAGCTGGAGCTGAGCCAGCTTGGGTCAAGGGGGTCGCGAGTAGAGAGGACACACAGCAGGTGGCTGGGCAGTCAGGCAGAGGGAGAAGAGCATCCAGAGGAGGCTGTGGCTAGAGACAAGGGGTGACACTGCTGCCAGAGGCTCCCCCTGCAGGCTGGCCTGCCCCAGCCCAGCCCCACAGACACACACACACCCTGGACACGCAGCAGTTTTATTTAACTCAGAATTGAAATCCAGATTCTGGCCCATCCCAGCTGTCCAGGATCCTGGCTGGAGCAGGCTTTGGGGAGGCAGGCACATCAGCCTCTTCTTTAGTAGGACAGGGAAGGGTGAGGTACGTGGGGTACATGGGAGAGGCCCGGCTGCTGCTGGAAGCGGAATGGTGTTTGATGGCTCCCCAGAGACACATGCACAAGAGACTGGGGTGGGGCTCATTCAGAGTTGGCCTTAGGGAGTGGACTGGAGTGGGACCGGGGCTGGGGGCAGGGGCTGCTGTGGGGAGTGGGCTGGAGTGGGACCGGGGCTGGGGGCAGGAGCTGCTGTGGGGAGTGGGCCCGAGTGGGACCGGGGCTGGGGGCAGGGGCTGCTGTGGGGAGTGGGCTGGAGTGGGACCAGGGCTGGGGGCAGGGGCTGCTGTGGGGAGTGGGCCGGAGTGGGACCGGGGCTGGGGGCAGGAGCTGCTGTGGGGAGTGGGCCGGAGTGGGACCGGGGCTGGGGGCAGGAGCTGCTGTGGGGAGTGGGCTGGAGTGGGACCGGGGCTGGGGGCAGGGGCTGCTGTGGGGAGTGGGCCCGAGTGGGACCGGGGCTGGGGACAGGAGTTGCTGCTGGCTGTGGGGATTCAGTAGGTGTGATTGGAAGTCTTGTCCAGCTCACTGTGTTGCTCCTTCTGCGACTCGGTGACAACGTGCTGCAGGCAAAGCAGGGGCAGGCAGGGGAGGGTGTTGGACTCTTCAGCACCACCCCTTCTCCATCTTACACACTTTGGGGCGAAACCAGCTGAAGCTCCAGTTCACCCCTCCTTCTCCTCAGGGAATCATGCACTGGCAATCCCTTCCAACGCCCCCCTCTCCGCCCCACCAGGGTGGGCTGCAGCTGGCGCTGCTGGGGAAGCCTCCTCACCTCCCCATCCCGCGTTTCAATGGTCCGGATCAGAACCATCTTGCGGCTGAGGCTGTCCTGGGCAGGCTCGGCTTCTGGCACTGGGGAGAGGCGACACCAGGGGCAGAGGGGCCATGCTTGGGCTGGTTCCCTCCCCCCGACTTCCTAAACCCCCCTGCTCCACTACCACCCAGGACAGGGACGAGGCTGCTAGTCACGTGCACGGGACTCACCCGTGGTCTTAATGTTCAAGGAAGCGAAGGAATGGACGGGCACGGAGATCCTAAGGATGGGCACAGCGTAGGGTCAGCGCCCAGGCCAGCCTCCCGCCCGCCCCCAAGTGGCCCCGGCGCCCACCGGCTCTCCTCGCCCTCCAGCAGCTTCCGGTAGGTGGCGATCTCGATGTCCAGGGCCATCTTGACGTTGAGGAGCTCCTGGTACTCGCGCAGGTGCCGCGCCATCTCCTCCTTGAGCTGCCGCAGCTCCTCCTCCAGGCGCGCGGCGCCGGCCTGGTAGCCGCCCGCCTCCAGGGCGAACTGCTCCTCCAGCTCCCGGAGCTGTCGGAGCAGCGCCTCGTTCTGCAGAGAACCAAGGACAACCCGGGTGGCTGGGTCTCGATCGGGGTGGCACCAGGTCGCCTCTTCCGCGGGTCCCCCTGGAGCGCGCACTACCCGGGACTCACCGTGCCACGCAGCCCGTCCACCTCGCACGTCAGACTCTGGATCTGCCGTCGGGATTCGTTCATCTCCTGCTTGGCCTGGCGCAGAGCCTCGTGGTTCCGGTTGGCGGCGTCAGATAAGTCCGCATACTGCAGGGAGGGCAGCGGTGACACCGGCTCCGGGGGGCTGGCACGCGGACCACCCCTCTTCCCCGCCATCCCCTCCCCACACACACACCTTGGACTTGTACCACTCCTCCGCCTCCTGCAGGTTCTTGGCCGCGATGGTCTCGTATTGTGCGCGGATGTCCCTCAGCGCTGCCGTCAGCTCCGGCTTCACCGTCGCCTCCATTTCCACCTGCTGCTGCACCTGCTGGCTCTCCACGCTCACCTGCAGGTCCCGCAGCTCCTGCGGCCCAGGGCAGACCGAATGCGCTCACAGTGCAGAAGGAAGACGCGGTGAGGTGTGCGGGGTGGGAGGGGGAGAGGGGGTAAGGCGGCCCAGAAGGACCCTCAGCACACACACTGGGGTCCACAGAAGGGGGTGCCAAGGGGCGCAGCGCCACCAGAGGGCGCAGGGGTGTGAGCCCATCCACCTGTAGGCTCGGGCTACGCGCCCCAGCACCGCACGGACCCACCTCCTCGTGCAACTTCTTGAGGAATTCTATCTCGTCCATCAAAGACTCAATCTTGCGCTCCAACTCCAGGCGGGACAGGGTGGCGTCGTCCACGTCCTTCGCGGGTGGGGATGAGGGGGTGGGGAGACAAGAGAAGGGAAGGGCTCATGAGGGCCCAAAGGGCCTGGCTGCCGCGGGAGGCGCTGGGTGCCCCACCCCACCCTGCATGCGCCGCCCGCTTGAGCCTGACCCAGCGTCGGGCTTGGGAGCCCGGCGCTCATACCTTGCGGAAGAGCACTAGGTTGTGCTCGGCGTCCTCCCGCTTTCGCGTCTCTTCCTCTAACCTGTGGAGGAGAAGGGACACTGCCTGAGCTCTGATCCCCGACGGGGCCCCCACGATCCTGTCAGGAGAGGGCTCCAGGCCTCCAACTAGACCCCCCCCCCATTTCCGTCTAAAGAGCTATAAGCTGAGCAGAGGGCCCCGAGGAGGCAGACAGCCGGTCCCCAACACAGAGCACATACCCGGCCTGGAGGGGACCACACCCTTGGGCGGCCATTGGGGAGGGACAGAAGCGAGGGACACGGGGAGCAGCCGCCTCGACGGCCCCTGACCTCTGCTTGAGCGCCGCCAGGTCCTCGGCCAGCGCGTCGCGCTCCACCTGCACCCGGTCGCGCTCGCGGCCCAGCAGCTCCAGCTCCCGCCGCAGCTCCCGCAGCTCCTGCTGGCACAGCTGGTCGGCGCGCGCCGGCTCCTGGCCGCGGGCCTGGCTCAGCTCCCCGCGCAGGGCGGCGTTCTGCTGCTCCAGGAAGCGCACCTTCTCGATGAAGTTGGCGAAGCGATCGTTGAGCTCCTGCAGCTCCTGCTTCTCGTTGCTGCGCGTGGCCAGGAACTCCTGGTTGAGGGCCTCAGCCATGGAGAAGTCGAGGCGCTCCGAGGGCAGGCGCAGTAGGGCGCCCGCGCCCGCCCGGGGCCCGCGGAAGCTGCCTAGGCGCACCGACGAGGAGCTCGCGGATGCCGAGCCCAGCAGGCGGCCGCCGGAGAAGCGGGAGCTGCTGTAGGAGAAGGCCCCGGGGGACAGGGAGGGCGGTGGCCCGAAGGTGCGGCGGTACGAGGTGGAGCTGAGGCCGGCCCGCAGGCCCGACGGGTGGTGGCTCATGGCAGCTGCGCACGGGGGTCGCGGTGCGCTTGGAGAAGCCGGGGGGCTGCAGGAAAAGCCGTGAGCGGCCGCGAGGCGCCTTTATAGCGGTGCGGCCCGGGGCGTGGTGGCTGTGGTGGCACGGGCAGCTCCTCCCCCTGGCCTGAGAGTGGGGCGGCGTGGGGAGGGGGTGCGGGGTGCCCCACCCACCCTGCGGAGAGCGCCGCACCCTCCCTGCGCGCTGCGGGCGCTTGGAGCGCCGAGACCCCTGTCGCCAACCTGGAACCAAACAGGGGTGCGGGGCGGCGCCTGACAGCTGGCGTCCAAGGCTGGGGCGCAGGGCAGAAGGGCCTGAGCTAAGCTAGGAGTCATTCGAACATCGGATTCACAGGGCCTGAGACCAAAGGGCAGCTTTTGGAGTACAAGAGTGGGGCCGGGCCAAGTGAGGTACAGTGACCCAGCTGCGCCCCAGAACCTGCGCGCCCGCAGACAGCCCTGCTCTATTCCCGCGGGCCGTCCCCCACTCCTCCGGTCACCCCAGGACAGCGGAGGGGCAAAGGCTTTGCGCTCCCCCCCCCCCCCAACTCCCCTGGGCCCTGGGGGAAGGCTGGCAGCCAGCGCTCAGGAGCTAATGGACTGGCCGGCTTTGGCCCCCTCCCCCACACATACACTTGGCCCCGCAGAAATTGCCTGCTGGGGTTTCAGCCTTAAAGACACAGGCCTCAAAGCTGGACCTGCACCAGGCCCCAGCATGAGGGTGGGATTGTGGGAAGAGGCATCCCAGGAGGGTTAGGGTGGGGTGGGGCCGGCCCGAGGAAGCCTGCCTGCGCAGGGCCAGTTGAGGGGCTTGCTGGCTTCTCCCTCCCCCCTCCAGCTGCTGCGCAGTCACGGGCCTTCCCAGAACTAGAGCGGATTCCCGAAGTGCAAGGGGAGGGGGCTGAGGGGCAGCCAGGACCAGAGACTGGCAGGCTGGTAGGGACCAGTTCCAGGAGCTGCAGGTACTAAACTGGGCTGGGCTGGTAGGGGGAGGGCAGAGGGATGCTGCCCATCCCAGGGTCTATTAGAGGAGCAAAGGGTCCAGTGACTGGGGGAGGGATGCAGGAGCTGACACCACGCAGGCGCGCGAACACACACACACACACACACACACACACACACACACACACACACACACACACAGAGGATACAGCCACAGGCGCTCCTCGCCCTCCTCCCCCAGGGACACTACCAGGCTGATGTTTGGCCTGGGCACATCAGCAGTTTCCGGAGTGCCCGCACCTGCTGCCCGGGTGGATAGAAGCTGCTTGGACGTTCTGCAGAAGCTAGGTGCCTAGGCCTGGGGTTGGGGTTTGGGGAAGGGAAGCTTCCAACAGCAGCTGCTGCCCTGGATTCTGGGACCCCCGGCAGGCACAGTTGGGCCTCTGGGGGAGCGGGTTTGGGGTGAGGAGGGTGGCTCCCCTGCTGGCAGGCTCCTGTCCACTGCAGGGAAGAGGAAACTGCTGTGTGTGTGTGCTCTGAGATGGTCCAGGACCAACGCCTGCCTGCCTGCGCACATCCCCAAGGAGGCAGCTGCCAAGGCCAGGCCCCTCCTTCCTTCCGCCCATTAGTCTCCCTGCACAGCGGCCTGGTCCTCCTTTGATGGGTGTGGTTTGGTTGCCAGGGCAATGGGAAGGGGGAGGGTAGCAATGGGCAGGATGCTCAAACCAGGGCCTGGCTGCCCAAGCCCTTGATGTGGGGTGTGGTCCCACCTGGACTGGGGTGTCTGGGGAAACCTTAGATGCTTTCTCAGAGACCTGTGCTCTGAGCCCCACCTCCCCAGGAGGGTCAGCTCACATCACCCCATCTATGTAGGGAGCTCCAGATGGGGTTCCTATCCCCGCCCCTGTGCTCAAGCCCCAGGCTCACCCTCCAGGGCAGGGCTCTGGGAGGCATGGAATGAGGTGAAACTCTGGTCTCCAGCAACACACCTCCCACCTAAGCCCCCCACACTCCCAGCTGGGCTGCATGTCCTGCTGTGTGTTCCGAGAGGGCCATGTAGAGGGTCCCTGAGAAGCTCCTGAGAGAGGCCGTGAGCCCACCCATCTGGGGGACAGTGCAGGTTAGGGGATCCTGTGGGCTGTCTCCACCCAGGGACCCCCTCCCCGAGCATGCTGGCCAGGGAAGTGGCCTGGGCCTGCCTCTGAATGCCAGGATGGAGGACACAGCCCTCAGTTTCATTAGCTGTGTGATATGGGTCTCGCCTCTGTTTGCCGCATTGTCTTTGTGCCCAAGTGGTGTGCGGGGGATCAAAGCAGTGCCTCATGGCTTTGGGAGGATGAGCTGGGCTGCAGTCTGAAGCACTTAGTACTTGGCTCAGGCTCCACCCTCCGTCACTGACCCCCTCCTCTACTCGCCCTGCCCAGGCCTGGGAGAGGAACAAGTGTGCATCCAAAGGCTTAGTGCAAGGATGATGGCTCAGCGAGGCGGGATGTGGAGAGACGGGGAGAGTGAGGAGGGCAGGAGCTGGACTCACAGGCAAGGCCGAAGAGCAGAGTGCAAAAGAATGGAGAATCCACGGGGTGGGAGGTGGGTGTGTTCAGAGAGCAGGTGCCTCCTGAAGTGCTTCTGAGGAGGTGAGCAAGCTCAGAGGATGCAAGGGAGTGAGGAGAGGAGCCAGATCCCCTGCTCTGTGACCCTGGAAAAATGTCCTTGTCCTCTCTGATCTTCAGTCCGTGTTGGTGCACCAGTTGCTGTCCCAGCTGCTCCGTTTCCCATTCAGCTGCCTGGCAATGCTCCTTGGCAAGCACTGGAAGATGGCCCGTGTGCTTGGACCCATCACTCGTACAGGAGACCTGAATGGAGCTCAGGCTCTTGCCTTCAGCCTGGCCCAACCTCAGCCATTGCAGCCATTGAACCAGCAGAGCAAAATACATCTTTTCTTATTTGTTTATAACTCTCATTTGTTTTTATCGGGAAAGAGATTCACAGAAAGGAGAAACAGAAAGATCTTCTGTCCTCTAGTTCACTCCCCAAGTGGCCGCATGGCCGGAGCTGAGCTGAACTGAAGCCAGGAGCCAGGAACCTCCTCCAGGTCTCTCACGTGGGTACAGGGTCCCAAGGCTTTGGGCCATCTTCTATTGCTTTCCCAGGCCACAAGCAGAGAGCTGGATGGGAAGTGAGCAGCCAGGGCATGAACCAGTGCCTGTGAGATTCTAGTGCTTGCAAGGGGATTTAAGCCATTAAACTATTGCACCAAGTCCCACTAATTACTTTTCTTTATTTTTGATGATGTTCACATAGTTGATTAGGATGGGAAGGGTCAAGGGTTAGGAGAAAGTGGGTGAGACCATTGCTTCCATGTTTTTTTTTTCTTCTTCTGGACCTGGTTCCTGTGTGTGCCAGTATGCGCAACAGACTGGCCCCACCTGTCCTGCATCTCATTCAGTTCTTGTATACATCAATGGGCCTTGAAGCCTAGCTTAACCCGACCAACCCCACTATCCATTCTTGCCAGCAGATGCCACCACCTGTCTTGCCAGGCCCACCCTCAGCCCTGATTTTCATGCTCACCAGTGGGAGTTGCAGCTCATCCAAGAGGTGCCCACATTCCCTCCTGGTCCCACTCCCAGTCCCGGCTCTTGCACTCTCCAGGCAGTTCTGCAGTCTAGCTTGACAGGATTTGCCCTCAGTCCCAGCACTTGCCAGCTGATGCTGCAGCAAAGCCCAACCAGTCTGTACTTGTTCTGCCTCATGCATGCGCCAGTGGGCAAGTTAGGCTAGCTTGGCTCTCCCTACAACCCAGTTCACGTGCAGACCGACAGGTGCTGAAGCCCTGCCCAGACTGATCTGCCTCCGATCCCATGCTTATCAGTGAGACCAGTGGCCCTGCAAGGGAGCCCCCCGGTAGCTCCCCTACCGGGCTCATCCATTGCCCCTCAGGTCCCACGTGTGCCAGTATATGCTGTGGCCCAGTCCGGCATGGCCCGCCTCAGTTCAGCATTTGTTGGCGAGTGCTATAGCCTGGCCCTGCCCAGCCTACCCCCAGTTCCTGCTCATGCTGGTCCCCTTGTTTTTAACTAAATGTTGGGAGATCTTCCTGCTTTCACTCCACACCCTGGAGAAAGACCAGTGTCCCCTCAAGACCACTTCCCAGGTCCCTCCCCACCTGCCCGAGTCCAGCTCCTGCTGAGTTCGGAACCCGAGAAGGGTGTGTGGATGAGGCACAAAGAGGAAAGAAACGGACCACCAGGATTTCATGATCATAATGGACAATGCACAAAAGCTGTCCGCTTTATTTCTACAGAAACAGTCAAACTCTGGCTCAGGCTTTTTACATCATGGTCAAGTGGGTGTTTCTAAGGATAATTCTGTCATTTGTTTTACCTAAAAACAATAGAAGTTCCTACTACAATTCTTATTCTACAACTTAATCTTGTATCACAAAGAAAAGGAAAACGTAAAGATCAAGGAAAGAATGAAAGCCTAAATACAGGTCCCTTAATTAGCATAAGGTCAATGGGGACAGCCAAGACAGTAGGAATAATAGAAGGCCCTTTTGCAAGATGTTATTATTGACATTAACCTCCAAGCTCACGTTGAGTCAAAAAGCCAACTCCACAGCAGCAAACAATGCCTGAATGGATTAGAGTTCCGCAGGGTGGTCCAGTATCCATGCAAAAGGAGGTGGAGCTGCATTCAGGTGGTTGTAGAGACATCCGCGGGGCCCGGCCATACAGCGGGAAGTTCCTTGCGGCCCTGCCTGCAATGGAACAATACTCTTCACACCTTTGCGTCCCCCCACATCCACTGCACGGACCCCAACACCCACCCCCGCAGGTGGATTGCTGCAAGTACCCACTAGCCCGGAACTGGCTGACCCTGCGCTTAGCTACCTAGGGACTCCCGTGCGGGCCTTAGCCCCCTGCCATGGTTCCTATGGCCTCCCTTCCCCAGCATCTGTGGCTCCGAGATGCGGGCTCTTCTCCAACGATGCACAGGGGCTGCAGGTGGAGCCTGTGCTGACTAGGAAGGCCCCGACAACTCTC